TCTCTCTCTCTCTCTCTCTCTCTCTCTCTCTCTCTCTCTCAGCTTTTGCCCAGAGCACACCCCCTATCAGCCCTGAGCAGATGGAGCTGTCTGTCACCATTTGTGATGAGGTGAACAGGGTTCCCAGGATCCCCTTGTACAACAGACAGTTGGTATGGTAGCCAAGTCCCCAGAAGGTGCCACTTCCCCAGGGCTGAGCTTTTGAAGCCTCAGCCCAGGGCCCCTTCCTCACAGTCTCAGGATTTTCTCAGCTGGGCTCCCCCTTCAGGCATCTCTATGGTTGGTATCTGTCTCTCCCATCAACTTGGTGCTTTGGGCCAGGATATGGGAAGTTCAGAAGGAGGCCTTGCCTGTGATGAGTCTCCTGCCTCGAGTGAGCTATCTCTTGGGTAGAATTTTCCTGTTCCCCAGCTAGAGTGGCTTGGGCAGATGAACACCCTTCTCTTTCTCTTCCTCCTCCTGGTTTCCCTGCCCTTGCCTGGCTCCCGGGTATGGCCCCACGATGACCCAGGAAGACACCATCTTTTGCTTTCTGCCTCCGATCTTTGGATCTCCTCTTCCAACCTCCTCTTTCCTTTTGCTCAGCCTTCAAAATACACCCCAAGTTGACCACCTCTCACCATCCTTACAGACAAAACCCTACTCTGTCCTCTGCCATGTGAACTGTTGCAAGCCCTTCCGGCTGCTGTCCTGTCCTTGGTCAGCCCTGGTCCCTCCTAGCACAAGTTCAACACAGCAGCCACAATGATTCCATCAGATCTAATGTCTGACCATGTTTGCACCTTCCAAAGAGCTCTTAATTCCCTCAGAATAGAAGCTAAGATGTACTGATGGCCTTGGAGACCTGACCAGAGCTTTTAATCTTTGTTCTTCCCCATTCCAGCTACAAAGGCCTTCTGCTATTCTCTGCATTCATCAGACACACTCCTCCTACAGGCCCTTTACACATTCTCCTTTTGCTCTACAACAGTGTCTCCCAAAGCTGCATGGCTTACTCCCTTGCACTATCCAAATCTTAGGCTCCAATATACTCTTGATTCCACCCTCTAGTCCCCCTTCATGCTCTATCCTTGTCTGCCTTTATTTATCTTCATGTATCCTATCATGTGATAGATTTAGTTATTGTCCACTGTCCCATATAATTTTGTTCCCTCCTGTGCCTCTAGTGCCCTGAGCCATACAAGGCACACAGAGGTATTCAGTAAGTGTTTAATAAGTGACATCAAGGACCTTAGAGAAGAGCTGCCTTTCAGTCATTTAGATTAACATTTCAAAAGTGGAGATCAATCCTTTCATGGCTTGTTCAAAACCTTCAGTGACTTCCTACAAAGTGAGTGGGCTCATGGAGTTCACAGCCTCCCAGCCTTGTCCAGCGTACTTTGGTACGCCAGGCATCATTCTTCTCTGAAGGATATAGCTCCTTGAAAGCAAAAGACTTGTCCTTCTGCTGTTCTAACCCCCAGGGTGCACTTGCCATGGGTACTCCATAAACATTTGCAGCGAGAACAAGAGCCCTACCCCAGTGAGGGCTCTGCCCACCCCATACTCACATCGATCTCACTCAGGATGACATCAATGATGCTGCCAATGACGATCAGGAAGTCAAACACATTCCATGGATCTCCAAAATAGCCCTGGGAAGGAAGGTCATGGAGATCAGGAGATGAGCTGTGGATGGAAGCAGATCTGCAGCTAACAGGGGTGGTGCTGAGGAGGGGGGCACACATCAAGGTGCTGGGCAGGCCAGGGTTCCAGCATCCCAGCTCTCCTCTCTTCCTGGCTTCTAATTTCTAGTTCTCTTCCCCTGGAGTGTCAGTGGTAGGGAAGTGTTGTTGGGAGCTTAATCTAGATGGGAATCTCTTTCACCTCCAGAGCCCCACTTAAAACTCCTGACAGAGCTCAACAGCACAGGACTGTATTGGACTTCAATGAGACTGTGGTTTGAGAATAGATTTGAGAGACAAAGAAACAGAAGCCTCAGAAGCAGAAAGGGAGGCAGTGAATGTGAACAGATCCACAGAGATTGTACCCAGCATCTGTGAGTAGCCTGGGAGCAGGAGTCTAGGTTGAATGGCCTTCAGGAGAAGGAGATCAAAGTCTCTCCTCTCAGGCCACAGCTGTTCCTCGGTCCCCATGGTCCAGTCACTCACCCTGGGCTTGAATGCTATGAGCTTGAGGACCATCTCCAGGGTAAAGATGATGGTGAAGGCCACGTTGAGAATGTCTGAGATGTGATTCATCTGATCCGACTGGTTGTAATGCTGAAGAGGCAACAGAGGAGAGGTGGGCCAGGAGGGCCAGACTTAGCAGCTACAGATTGAAATCCTAGCTCCCTCCTCTCCACGGGCAGCCCCTGCTGTCTGTCCTTGGGCCCACTTCTCACCTGTTTTATCTCAGCAAGCTGAGAGGTTAGTAATCCCCTGACTTCTACCAGATCTTAAGGATACCTTTCATGTCTATTCCACTCCATAATAGGCAATGGTAGAGGAGAGAGTGGAGGTTTAACAAGCACAAGTCCGACCAAGTATGGTTTGGGGCTGCAAGGCCAGATATCATTTACACATTGGTCCTGGGTGACCAGAATGGCAGTCTCCTAGGCGGGGCTTTGCATCGTCATTATGATAGAGGACTAAAGTGGTTGACATCACCACTGTTTAGTGGAATGCAAAGCCAGCCAAGTTTCCTGTATCCTATACACCCGCTGCCCCAGTGATGGGGATGGAGAGACCCTTTAGTCATCAGCCTTGGCTTCTGTGACCACCTATATGGACCACCTGAGACTCCTTTTTTTAAAAGTTGGTGAAATTCCAACATCTTCTACAGAACCTTCCCAGGTAGGTGAGAAGGGTTTGCTGATTGCCCCACCCCTCAGTGGTGCTGTCTATGGCTGCTGCCTGACTCAGCCCCCCAAAAATATTGCTTATATTCCTCCACATGACCAGAGCCTGTAGCTCAGTGAGTCTCCTCCCAGGACCCCATGAACCCACAGTGTGTGTTCCTGTCATGGCATTATTGTTTCAACATGAAATATGCCCGATATACTTGTGTATTTGAACACAGTCCCCAGACTGTGGTGCTTTGGGAGAAAGTAGGTCACTGGGGTAGGCCTTGAGATTGACAGCTAAGCCTTGCTTCCCACCCTGTCTCTGCTTCCTGTTCTGTTGAGATGGAAGCAGCAGCCACATGTTCCCACCATCATGTAGCAGCCTACCACTGCGTCTTTCCTCCATTATGGGCTGTATTGTATCCCCTCCAATCACAAACCAAAACAACCCCACCCTCCTAAAGTGTTTCATGTAAGGGGTTTGGCGACTGTTAGGATAAAAGCAACTAATGCATAATTAAGCATGTCTTGGGCTCCTAGGGGCAGGGAGCCTAGCTGTGAAGTTGCATTATGTGGGCTTAGGGACTAGATGTTTAATTAAATAGCAATGCTACTGACTATGATATGATCCATGAGAGGTGGCTCCTCTCCTAAGAAGGTTGCCTGCCTTGTGAGTCCTAAACCCATTTTTCTTGGGGTCAGGACAGAGTTTCCAAACAACCCAGCCATCCAGATTTGTAACAGTGAAGGGAAAAGAGAGAACATGAGCTCTGCTCCCAGCACATCTTCCTTGCCTGCAGCATCCATTCCTGTTTGCAGAATTGCTGCCCCATCTAGCTGGAGGCTTGAATTAGCTTCTTTGCAAATCAACAATAGGGGACAAGACTGGGATCAGTTCACTCCTGTGTCCTGCAGCTGGCATGCAGCAGATGCTCTAGAGATACTTACTGGGATGAACTGGGGACTTCACTACATCTCTGCCCTGCCCACGCCCTAGGTCTTAGTCTGGTCAGTCCCTCGTCTCCTTACCTGCATGCCTAGGCAGATAGTGTTGAGCATGATGAGGGCAAACATCAGGTATTCAAAGTAGGAGGAAGTCACAACGTACCACACCTGATACTGGTATGGGTTTTTGGGGATGTAACACCTCAGTGGGCGGGCCTTCAGGGCATACTGTACACATTGGCGCTAGAACACAACGAAACAGGACAGGTCAGCACCGAGAGGCCCCTCCCTCCATCTCTGTACCTACGATCATGGGGTTGTAGGATGGGGTTGGTGTACAATGCAGAAACAGCTGTGGCCAGAGCTACTGGTTGAGGAACTCTGAATGACTTACAAGATAAACTCCACTGGGTATCTTGGGTTCCCCTTGAGTGATCATGGCCCATTCTGATCACAGCTGCACCCCAGTACAGAGATTCTGAAAGGCCTTCTCTCGGGGCAACGGGCAAGTTGCAGAAAGCCCTCCCTCCGCCAGTGTGAACTGCTTCAGGTTGGAGGCAAATGGGGTGCACAGACTAGGGCTGGGCCTCAGTGGGGACTCCCTTCATAGGCCTGTGGGGCTCGGCTTTCCATCTCTAGCAGGTGGCTCAGTACCTGGTTCTTGTCCAGCTCACAGTTCTTATACTCAGTCTCCCCCTGTTCCTGAAAGGTGACGATGACAAAACCCACAAAGATGTTCATCATGAAGAAGGCAATGAGGATGATGTAAATGATGAAGAAGATAGCCATCTCCACTCGGTTGTTGTAGATGGGGCCCGTGTCCTCCTCATTGGAGTCTATGGCCTTGTACAGCAGCCTTGGGGTGGGCAGAGAAGAGAAGATAACTAGGGTTGGGATGCTGAGGCTGAAATCCAGGCCAGGAAATAGTTCATTGGCCACAGGAACCAAGGAAACTTTCTGAACAGCCAAGGAATGGGAGAGAAGGCAGAACTGGGTTTAGGGAAGACTAGCTACCTTGCCAGGTCCTGCCACACCACAGGGCATCTTAACTATCCTATCATCAGTCAACCATTAAGACTCCCCTGTGGGGAGAGAGGCATGCATTTGTAGGACAATTGGGCATATTTTGCCAGAGTCCTCTGGTCAGGCTTATTTAGGAGTGGCACGAGCCAGTGGGTTTGTTGAGAACAGCCACAGGCTGCCCGGTACAGTGGGGGCTGCTGGCTTCTTGGCACTACCGGTAATTGTGCCCACAATGGACCCAGATCCCAAGTCTTACTCACTGAGGCCAACCCTCAAAGGTGGAGACCGTGAAGAGTGACATCATAGCTGAGAGTACGTTGTCGAAGTGGAAGTCGTTGTGTGTCCACTGGCGGGGACGCAGCTCTATCTGTGTGGGGTCTCCATCCTTGTATATGTAGTAATAGCCCCTGACACAGGGAGGCCCAGTCACTCTACAGTGTGGCTAGGAAACCTCAACCCCACCCACATCCCCTGGGCCCTGGGGAGTGAGTGTGCCAGAGAAATGCCGGAGAAGAGGGACAGAAAGGAAGGGCACCGTTGGGCATTTCCTCCCCACAGCTACCGAAGGCCTGGGCCTCTATAAGGTGGTACCCCGATTCCCACCCTGAAGGACATCATGGTCCTCATATGAGCCTCCTGTATCCCTCAGCTGTCAAAGCCTGGTATACCTGCACTCCTCTTCAGTCATCTTGGATAAGTCATTGCAGCTATAGAACTTTCCCTGCATCCAGGAGGGGAAAGGAGGGGTGGAGACATGGTCAGGAAAATAGGGTAGGGAAGTGTGCTTTGTGGGAGCTTGGTGGGAGGGAGAAGGGAAAGAAGAGGCATTTCGTCTCTTACTCTGAGGGCAAGGCCACCATCATCTATTTTCACGTCCCTCAACTGTCTCCCACCTAGCCTGGCTGCTGCCTTAGATGGGCATTTGTGGGATAGACAAGATTAGACCTGAGGATGTAAGTACACCCAGCCCCGCTCCTTTGACAATGGTGACCACTGAGGCTCCCCTCTTTCCCCCTCTGAAGAAATCTCCCTCACAGTCCACACTGTACAAGGAGGGGGCTTGCCCCACCCTCATCCCTCTTCTCCAGCTTGTGGGCCGCCCAAGGCTGCTAAGGAAACAAAAGACATACAGATGGACCCTCCCAGTAGGGCTCTGACAAATTTAAACATGTCCTCAGAGTTAGATAGGGGTCCCCAGCACATCCCAGATAAGGCCTGGTCTTCCCCAAACTGACTTCAGCAAGAGCACATTCTCCTTTTGCCTGTATCACATTCTGAACATCTGCAAAAGGTTTTGTTTGAACAAAGAATTGGATGCAAGTCATCCTAAGACATCCATGAATTCTGGTCCAGCTCCTTGGAAGGCTGTCAGAGAGGAACGTCTCAGTCAAGGGGCCCAGCTGCCCTGCCTCCCTTCAGGGCTCTGTCATTTCTTCAGGGCATTGCTTCTCTAAGGTTGCCAGAGCAGAGGGTAGAGGTGAAGTAAGGGACACAGGCATGACAGAGGAGGGGACTGTGGGGAAAGTGGGCATCCCTTTTGGCTCCTTTAGGGCAGTGGCTAACAGGACCCCTTCTCCTGAGGGACCTTGAGCGGCCAGATACTGACCACTTTCCTCAAAGCCTGTACCATGTCCTCAGGAGGATCATGGCTTTGCCTTTGAGTCCCCCAAGCCTAGCCAAGGCCTTGGCCCATCTGCAGAGAGAGTGATTCTTCCATGTTGGTTGAATGAATAATAGTAAAATGACACTACTTCATGTCTAAGGCTCCCCAAGGTTATATAGTCATGAATAGAGTCATGCTAGGAAGTACTATACTCTACTATCAATTTCAGTGTACTACAGAAAATGTAAGAGCCATAGGCATCTAGATATCAAAATTCAGTGGGAGGACATCCTTAAAGAGTAACTGAAGAGTAACTGAAGAGCTGTGTTCTCCCAGGGAAGTGTTAGTAGGATTAGGTCAACTGCGGACGAGAAATAAAGATGGCTTCTGCAGAGAGGCTCCTGGGTGGTGTGGATGAGGCCAGGTATCCCAGCCAAGACCATGGATTGCAGAGCCTGGCTGCAGCAAAGAAGATGGCTGGGCTGGGGTGCTGTAGGCAGCCCTGAGAGAGTAGGTAGAGGCTGAAGAGTTGGTGAGAGGAAAGGTAATGGCAGGGCCTGTGGGTAACAGTAGACACAATGGCAAGGTGGCCGGAGAATCAAAGGTTAGCAACAGGTATTGCCCAGCAAACGAGCTCTGGATGTTTCCTAATTCTGACACCATAGATTCAGGGCCATTTGGCTTTCACAATTTGGGGTTCTTTTGCTTGAGAAGAAGTGGCCAGCTTTTGTCATGACCTTCAACTTGGCCAGGGAAGGGCTGCTGGCCAGGCAGGGCCTCACCTTGAAAAGCTGGACTCCGATGCAGGCAAATATGAACTGTAGGAGGGTGGTGACCAGCACAATGTTCCCGATGGTGCGGATGGCAACAAACACACACTGTACCACGTGCTAGAAAGGTAGGGGTAGCTGGTAGGAACTGGGCCTGCTGCCCCACTGTACCCCACCATCCTGCTCAGGGAACCCTAGCAATTCAAGACTCTGCCTCCCAGTACAGCTAGGTCCCTGAGGCAAGGTGGCTGGCCTGCCCCATTCTCACCCCCATAGCTGGTCCAGATGAGCATCTGAGTTGAGGATCTAGAGTCAGGACTGAAGACCCCTCCCCTATCTGGGGCATCTCTAACCTTCAAGCCTTTGGCTCTGTTGATGGCTCGGAGTGGTCGCAGCACCCTCAGAACTCTCAGGATCTTCACCACGGAGATGGCGCTGGACCTGCAGGATGCAAGTTGCTGTGAGGCCTAGAGCCAGAGGCTTTGTTGCCTCCTACTTGGAGCTTTCCATATGTGGCCTCCCTGACCTCCGGGTAAAGCTGCTCCCTGATCATGGTGGATGGTCTCATTGGCTCACTTCTCTGTGGATATCGACTCGGTCTCTTCCATCAGACTAGAAATGACCCACAGCTGGGCCCGTACTCCCCACTCTAGGGGCCTGGCTGCCTTCTGTTTGTCTTCCCCACTCTGCCCGGATCTCAAAGACAAGGCTCTGAACATTTAGCCACCCTCATATTTCAGCCAGGAACCCAGGCATGTGCAGGGCTGGGACTCCTGCTCTGAGGTACAGGCACAGAGCACCCATGCTCTGGGACGGGCCCTGCCACTGCTTACTCGAGCCCCATGGAGATGAGCGACACGGCTACCACCAGCAGGTCCAGGATGTTGAAGTAGTTGCGGCAGAAGGAGCCTTTGTGCAGGAAGGCTCCATAGGTGGTCATCTAGAGAGAGAGGCAACATCTGGAGCAAGCATCTGGGGGAGCAGGCTTGCCCCTCAAGAGAAGGGTTTCCTATCACCATCTTCGGGAGAGTGCCCACTGTGTCAGGGAGTGCCACGTTACTCAACTCCGTGCTGCTAAGTGCTCCCTCCAAGAGTGCTCTCTCTGCTATCTGCTTCAGATAAACCCCAGGCACTTTCACAGCACCTGTGCCGGCCTCTGCCCTCAGAGGGGGGTCCTTTCCTCCAGATGTCTTCATGTGTCATGGAGTGGGAATCCTGCCTGGCCCTCTTCTGGGGACTCATATTCACTGCCTTGTTGGTGTAGCTTGATTTCAAGCTACTTCCAAAGTCCTTCCTTGAGCTCTGAGCAGCTGCCTTCTCCCTCTGCTCCACTGTCAATGGTAGAAGTACTGAAAAGGGAGCACCCCTCCCTCTGCTCTGCTCTGGTCCTTACACAAGCCACCCTCTCCTCTTCTGGGAGAGATAAAAGCCTGATGGAGCCTCTCCCTGCTCATCAGAGCCCGATACTGTGATAACCTGAATCCAGGGCACCCACCCTGGGAACAGGCACACAGGGCTGTGTTGTAGAAACCCAAACCAGGACAATGGTCCTTTCTTTAAATATGAGAACTTCTTTCTGTCTTAGTTGACAGTCCGGGACCCCTTTATTCGCTGTGTAGCCCACTCTGACCCTAAGCTTCAGATCTTCCTCTTGGCTGAGCAGATTACAGGCACACACCACCAGGCCTGCTGTCACACAGTGCTGGGAATCCAAGCCAGCTCTTTGTGACTATTTGGCAAGTACTCTCAATGGAACCATATCTCCAGCCTATGTGAGGGTAAATCTGGGAATTCCTGATTGACAAAATCTTTTGCCTTATGTGGTAAAACAAGGTGTGGCATTGGGGGACACCTCTTCTCGCCAAAGTTAGAGGTCATTTCCAGACCCGCAACTTCCTTCTTCAAACAGCTGGACTCCATAGTATGTGACCAAGATGCAGCAAAGCCAGTCTTCAAGGCTCTCTCTGGAACACTCCCCTATGGCCACTAGGAGGACAAGAGCTTGCCTGGTACTTGGAGTGAAGGCCTAAGGGAAAATCTCAACTCCAGGCTCCGTTTTGTGTTAATTGTGTCTCCCATGTGGAAGATCTGAGCTTTTCTGAGAGGTGGTAGCCACAGGTGGGTCCTATTTCTTGTCCCCAGCCTTCCATTCAGTTACCTGCTCCCTTGCCTGACTCCTCTTTGCTTAGGAGCTAAAGCCCTGTGTGGTTTCCTGGTTCTGACAAGTCTTTCCTACCATTGTTCTCCTCTATCTTATTTCTCTCCCATTCCTTTCTAGTGTCCCCAAGTGAGTCATTGTGCATAAGTGGGAGTCACACCCCCCCGACCCTTGGTGCCCAGTCATGCCCGTCCTGCATTTTTCACTCACCTTAAGGACAATCTCCACGGTGAAAACAGCAGTGAACACATAATCAAAATACTCAAGGATCTGGAGGTGGGGCAGAGGAGAGGCAGCCAGTGAGAGAACTGGCCAAGCAATGGTTCCACCACAACCATCATCACCACCATCCCTATCACCCCCCCCCACCAATCATTGTCACCATCATCATTACCACCACCACCGCCACAATCATTACCATAACTACCACCCCCATCATCACCATCACCATTACCGCCACAATCATTACCATCACCATTACCGCCACAATCATTACCATCACCATTACCGCCACCACCGCCACAATCATTACCATAACTACCACCCCCATCATTACCATCACCATTACCGCTGACATTACTACCTCGTCACATCACTATCACCACCATTATCAACAATATCCACCGCCACCACCACTACCACCATCATCGCTACCATCACCACCATCGCTACCATCACCACCATCACTGTCATTACCCATCACCACCATCGCTAACATCACTACCGCCATCACCACTATGATTACCACCACTATCATGGGCACCATCCATACCACCAGCATCATAATTGCCAGCACTCACACTATTCAGGACCGGAAGGCATGGTCTATCTTACTCATGCCATGGGAGCACCATTCAGAAACTGCAGTGGCAAGTCCCAGCCCTCCAGAAACGCTACCTCTAAGAAACTCTGACGCCTATGGCCACATAGAGGGTATTACTGAACTTGGGCCCCAGAGTGGGCTGGGGGTGGCTGAGGCCTGGAGTGGAGGAGCGTGCTGAACCAGCTGAAGGGGCTGCCATCACCTGGTTCCTCATGGAGTCAGCCCGGATGGGGTCCTCAGCGGCCAGTGCAGCACTACTGAGCAGGATGAAGAGCAGGATAAAGTTGGTGAACCAGGTGGCATTGACAATGCGGTGGCAAAGGACACGGATCCTGGTGGGGCAGGTTGGGAGGATGTGAGCTGTGAGATGCTGGAAGTCCAGGCCTCATTAACTTCTGTCCCATAGAGGGACGCTCAATCCACTTGCTCTCCCCTCACAGTCAGGGAGTAAGTATACCCTTGCAGCTGCATGATCCTCTGACTGGATACGCAGGACTTGGCGCTCACTTTGTACCTTCAATCTTAGTCACATCTCTCAACTGAGCCCCTTCGTCATCTGTCCCCTCTACCAGTACCCACCACCAAGAAGATTCCCCAGCCAAGAATGGGACAGGCTGATTCTCCCTGGGGCAGAAGAAACTCCATGAAGTCTGTTTGTTCCCAAGCTGAAGATTATAATGCTAATAAAAACTCCAGCTCTCCCTTGACCTCATCTTCTTGCCCTACCTATAATGCCCTTAGAAAGGAACTAGCAATGACAGTCCCTCTTAGGTATAAGTACCTGATAAAAACAAAACAAAACTTAAAAGTATTATTTCTCCCAGAAATACTAGCATTTTATTCATTTTAAAGGTATTTAGTTTTGTTATGTGCTGGGCATTGAAACCAGTTTCATGCATGTTAGGCAAACTCTCTGTCATGAAGTTACGCCCCAGCTCACTGCTAGCAATTTAGACAGAGCACAAGACTATAACCTAAAGGAGTGAACTGTTTTTATGGTAACCAAAGATGGAGAGAATCAAGAATAGATCTCTTCAGAGAGGGAAGCCACTGTCTCCGAGAACTTCATCAGCTACCCCACATGGCTGCCAAGGCACTACCTACTTATTGGTGGGACTGAAGATGAAGAAGGAGCTGGCCTCTGGAATGGGCACTGCTTTCTCTTTCAGCTGCAGCTCGGCCAGAGGGCGTGGTCGGGGGCTTATTGGGATCTCGGGCTCATCTTCCTCATCGTCCCCTGTGGAGCAAGGGAAAGAAATAAGACGGGTTTCCAAACCTTGCCAGGCCCTTGTCTTCTGTGCTCAGAGTCCTCCTAGAAGCCTCCGAAGCTGTTAAGCAAAGGCCAGTTTGAGAGACTAGGCATTAGCAGGGTACAGTCTGGGCCTTCCCCTTGGGTGCATAGTGCACAGTCTAGCTCAGAAGTCCCCCAAACCTTCTGCAAGGAGGGCCGGGAGCAAGATTAAGGAGTCTGGCCAGGCATGGTGGCACATGGCTCTAATCCAGGGTTAGGATTCTAAAAACAATGAAGAATTTCTAGCATGGGCAGAATGGAGCCAATCTCTCTTAAGCTTTGGCCAGGATCGTGGCCACCAAGGTGAAGCAGAAGGCAGAGAGGAGGAAAAAGATACTCCAAGCATATGCCTAAAGTTGTGCGCTGCTTGGGTTCCTCCACGGACAGCACCTCCTCCCCACCTCGTCAACCTGGCCAAGACCTTCGGCATGCCAACAGAGCCTCATTCTGCTCTCTCCATGCCGGAGACCTGTGGGTTCCTCAACCTACCCACATCACAGCCCCACACCTTCTCTAACAGGGCACTCCTATCTGCCTGGCCTGCCATGACTGCTTAATTGCAGACAGGGTTCATCCTTAAGGGTTTGCATCTTTGCAGCTCCCCTTAATTCTTTATTCCTTTGTCTGTGTTTGTTTTGTTAATTTTATTGCACATATCTCTTTTTTTCCCTGATACTGGGAATTGAACCCAAGGCCTCATGCGTGATAGGCAGTGGTAGCTACCACTGACCTATATAGTCCCCTGCCTTGGCCCTTAGAGGAACTGGGATTCTAGGATTGTGCATTAGACCCAGATTGTACAGAACTTTTGTCAAAAGCCACTTCAACTTATTTTTGGAAAGAGGTTAGATATATTCAGGAGCCTTGGAAAGACCGCTCTGCAACCTCTGTGTTCTCCACTGCCTGCTCTCATTCTCTCTAGCCCCCTTCCCTTTCCCCCCACATAAGACTTCCCACACCTGTCATCCTCCCGTCTTCATGTCAGTCACAAGCACTCAACAGAGGAGAGCCGTTAGGTGACAGCTCTGTGTGAAGCGTTCTCAATATTTACTCCTGCTAGACATTGGAAGAAATTTTACCAGCCTTGCTCCCCATACTTCACTTTGGAAAATCATTTTGTGCAATCATTTCTTTGATTTGTGGCAGGCCTACTGTGTGCCAAATGCTGTCATTCCCAGCACGGAAAGTCCAACTGGAGCTGAGAGGCACTGAAGCTAACCAGCCGATTCCATAGTAAGAAGTGAAATGCTCAGAAGCACTCGTGAGTGAGCCGACAGAGCCTTCGAGCACTTGTGCCCAGGTTTTTCCAAGAGGCCATGTGGTGCTAATCCAGCTTGGCTCTGCTTCTACCGTGCATGCGTTATGCCCTTGGTCCCGATGAGCAGGTTCACACGGCAGCCAGTGGCTACATGCACCCAGGATGCTTGCAGTTGGATGCTACTGCTCTGCTTTATCCACCTTCCTTCCCAGGCCACTCTTGGGGATTTTCACACAGCGGCAGTCTGGCAGTCATGGTTTTATTCCAGATACAGGGTAGGCAGTGATTTATCCCATCACCATATAAATGAAAATGCCTTTCTTTGGCTGGAACCCAGTGGTCAGGGAAGACTTGTGTGCTCCCCAGCCTTGTGCTATTTGAAAACTGGGTATTCAGTATTGAAGCAGATAACTGGAACTCAAAAGTAAATTAAAGCATATGTGGAATATTATTTTTTTTTCTGTGTATATTGCAGGGAAAGGCAGGCTTGCAGATTGCATCTTTGCAAGGCAAGGTTCAGAAGGGATTCTCCAGGGTCCTAGTCTCCACATGGAGAGGTCCAAGGAGGAGACCCACAGGAGACACCCAAACCGAGAATTCATCATTAGCATGTTACCCCTTCAACAGCATCCTGCTCCAGCCTAGGCTTTGGGACCCTCACCTGGGAAGTCAGCAGAAGGGTAGGGGTCTTTCACCTCATTGACGTTAGATTCGAACTCATCGATTTTCAGCTGTAGAAAGGAATGGTGAAGGTGGTGAGGAAGCAAAAACTGATGCTTTAATTTATCAGACATGTTCTGGGGGGCCATTGTTCAGCTTCCCAAATGTTCCCTGTAATCTGAGAGGTGGGTGGTAGCCGGGTAGTGATGTCTTACAAATAAGAAGCTAGGCCTAGTAAGGTATACAACTCGTCCAAGCCTGTGTTGGGCAAAACCAAGGCTTTAGCCAGTCTGAGACTGCTTCACTGTGTGCTCCCTTGGCTTCCCGCTGGAGAACTGAGCCAGGCCAAGCTATCCAGCCTTTCTGCAGCCCAGGACCCTGGCTTATGACTCTCCTCACTCTCCACAATGGTGAGCAGGTCCAGGCTGGAACATGCAAGGCAGGGCTAGTGGGAGTGGAAAGCCAGCCTCTTAGCTGGTTCCCAGGATGAAGGGCCTGTGCCTTTCCCCACAGGAAAAGGTGTACATGTGGGCTTTCCCTCCTACAGAAGCAAGGGGATGTTGTCTCTACTACCCTATGTCTCCTTCCTATCCCCAAAGTGCCCCACGTGACATGGGGAGTCAGGGGATTCTCAGAGGCTCTCCAGACAGCCTGTAAATTTCCTGTGTGAGGGCTCACCTTGGCAGTGGTGGGGATGCCTTCACCTTTGAACTTCTGCTCCAGCTTCTTAGTCATGGTGGACTTCTCTTCTTCCGACTTGTCCGGGAGCCCTCTGAAATAAAAAACCAATGAGATCCAAGGTGGAAGCCATTAGAATGGCATTGGGCTGACAACACCCTCAAGAAGATTTTACACCAATGGCTTAGTGGGATTTATGGGGGAAGGAGCAGCACTGGCCACAAATGGGAAGGGCAGTAGGTCTGGGAGAGCCTTTTTCTCTGTGGTAGAAGGTGTGATCCTCTGCTCAAGCTAGACTCTCAATGGTCATCCATCATCATTGTCTGTTCTAGTGAAGGGGTGGGGAGTGGCTTTGTACCTGTTTTATGTAAGATTCAGAAATTATGGTCTGTCTAAGTTCCAAGCCTGGAAATGTCTGGGGCCTTTGCTGGTCTGTCTTCCCTAGCTCTTTCCATCTTGCCTCCAAGAAATGGGCATCCCATTCCTGCAGGCATGTGCATTAAAAGAAGCAGGCTGAAGTTCAGTTAATCAAACTGTGATCCTCCAAAACTCAGCCACACTAGCACTGCCTGGGTACTTCCTAGAAATTCAAACCTTCATCCATTCCACCTGGTTCAGGCCAGTTGACATGGACTCTATATTTCATAAAACCTCCAGATGGTTCATTTGCAGTTTGAATTTGAAAAACAGTATCCAGAAAACCTGTCCCACATCTACTCTCAGGGGCACCAGCAGAGTGACGTGAACAATCACAGATGGACAGATAGATCTGCAGAGAACTGAGAAGTCAACCCCTACTTCACCAAAGTCCAAGGCTCCAAAAATAAACAACTCCTTCCAACAGGTACAGTGACTCAATAGCTGGGCTGTGAGGGAGGAAGAAAATCTCAGAACAGACTAGGCTTGATCATTGCATTTCTTGAGGCCTAGAAGACCAACTTGTCTCCAGTTTTGCACAAAGAACATCCGGTGTAACTTCAGAAGGCCTGAATGTCCTGCTTGGAGACGTCTGCCCACAAAAGCGGGTGCCATATGGCCCCCTGCTCATCCAGCTCAAGGGGTGGAGTGGAGACCTTGTGTAGTGCCTGGAGACCATAGACACAGTTGGTCCAGCATTCCAGCTCTCACCTAGAGGGTGCAGCACTCACTTAGACATCTTCCTGCGCTTTCTCTCCTCAGCCTTGGCCTTCTGGGCGGATGTTAGACTCTCTGCCTCTGCCAGGTTGTCCACAGCGATAGCCAGGAAGACATTGAGCAGGATGTCTAAAGGTCAGCTAAGGAGCCTTGAGTTGTGGTAGAAGGCAGTTTCTGGGACAGGAGTTTTGCCTGCCTGTATGTTTCAAGACCTTAATTCCTGAGAGGGCAGTTTCTTGCCAGAGCTATACCCTGTGGGAGGGTACAGGCCCAGGGCATATACAAGTCCTCAGGGAAGCTTGCCTGCAGATGGGGCCTGAATCTGTCATAGCTTTTGAGTCTTATTCTTGGTCTGCCAGAACAGATCCCAGCTGCCCGATAGGAATGCCTGGGAGTGAGGCAAAGCAAGGACCCTTGACTTCATCCCTGTCCACTCACCATGGAGTCAGATTTCACAGCACAGTATCAGGACCCTTCAGGCGCCATTAGCATCTCTCTGCCTCTCTGCTTCACTTGCCTCTCTGCTTATCTTACCTTTTGCCTAGCCTAGCTTAATCTTCCTGGTCCCAGAGCTCAGACTGATCTCCTGTCACAGCTTTGTGTTAGCTTCAGTTGTCAACCTGACACACCTGGGAAGAGGAAACCTCAATTTAGGAATTTCCTCCATGGACTTACTTGTGGGTGTATCTGTGGGGCATTTTTCAAAACTGCTAATTGATGTAGGAGGGCTCAACCTACCCTGGACAGGTGGTCCTGGATTATATAAAGAATGTAGCCAACAAGCCAGAGGGATGGATCCAATAAACAACATTGCTCCCAGTGGTTCTCAACCTTTATGCTGTGACCCCTTTAGGGGTTGATTGACCTTTTCAAAGGGGTCGCCTAGTATCACCAGAAAACACAGGTATTTATCTTGTGATTCATAACAGTAGCAAAATTACAGCTATGAAGTAGTAAGAAAATAATTTTATGGTTGGGGGTAACCACAACTTGAGGAACTGTATTAAAGGGTCACAGCATTAGGAAGTTTGAGAACTCCTGCCCCATGGTCCCTTCTTCAGTTCCTGATCCCAGGACCTTGCTTGAGTTCCTGCCCTGATTTCCCTTGATGACAGACCATAATATGGAAGTATAGCCAAATACATTTTTTCCCCTTCAAGTTGGACACCTTGGCTCCTCCCTGCCGGCCAAGGAGCTTCTGGACCAGGCTGCCCCACCATCGCCACTGCTTCTCTGATATAAGCCCTGGGCTTCTTCCCACTTGCCTCAGGCTCTCACCAACCTCACAATCAATCACTCCCAGGCTCCAACACTTCAGGTGGAAAGGATTATACTGTTGCTGCAATTACCTTTACTGTGCCCCCCCCCTCCACTAACCTGGGAACCAGAGGACCTGACTTCCTGACGCCTAGGGACCCCTAATCCTCCCTATTAAGCCAACTCCCCCAAGTTCTTTGCACCATGGCCCGAGGGGATACAGTTGCCACAGACAAAAAGGATGATGAAGTAAATGCACACAAGCACTCCAGGGTAGGACGGGCCTCCGTAGGCCATGATCCCGTTGTACATCACAGAGTTCCAGTCTTCTCCTGTCAGGACCTAGGTGGAGAGCACACAAGGTAAGAGGATACATCACCCCCACAGGCCTTTGTCACCTGTCAACGCTCCCAATCCCCACAGAAGGGGGGTGACCACTCCCTACTGTCCTCATTGCTCCTCTTCAGTTATCTACAGTGTTATCAAGGTGAGAGTGGGCTTAGATGAGGAGTGGGCGGGCTCGGGGAGGAGCGAGTGGGCTGGGGGAGGAGCAGACTCAGTGGGGGAGTGAGTGAGCTTGGGCGGAGGAGCATAAGACTGAAGGGGCTGCCTGGAGTGGTTGGAAAAAGTCTTATCAAACCTCTCCAGAGTCAAGTTTGATCATGGGGCCACCACTCTGTTCTTAATCCCCAGGCTGAAGTGGACTACACTCAGCCAGGCCTCTGTTATCCTGGCCTCCAAAAATAGGATCAATGTCAAGTCCCCAGCGAGGCAGTGAATGGAACAAAGGCAGGATGAAGCCATCTACAGGACTGACTGATTGTCTCCTACCACCCTTGCTGGTATGGCATGGTAGAGTGACTTTGTGAGACACTCGTGATATGAAAAGGAACATTTTCATGCTCCACATTAAGAAAGCTCTCTGGGAGCCTGTGGCTCTGAAGGTCACTGAATCGCAGCCATGATCCCTTGAGTGGCTTCTTGTAAACAGGTATCCCCTATGCTTCTGGTGGGAGAATGGGGCTCTGATGCCTGTGGCTTTCGAAGCTTGCCGAGGGCGCTTCCAGCTTGTCTGACTTTGCCCTAGAGATGTGAGCAGCACACCTCTTCCAGTCTACCCCAAGTATCTACAACAGCTGCTATAGCACTGCCAGGCACCAGGAGCCAAAAGAAACCAACAGAGTAGGCATCATTAGGCACAGCTCCAGGGAAAGAGACAAATATTACGGTATTGCATGGTTCAAGATACAGGTGATAGAAAGTGAGAAGGATGCTGAATTCAACCAACAGGTCAGATAAAGGCTTCCCAGATATTGAAGCAGGATTCAGGAACCTCCCAGAACAAGGGCTTCACAGACAGAACATCTACCTGAAAGACACTGATGAGGGCCTGGGGGAAGTTGTCAAAGTTGCTACGCCGTACTTCTGTGTCTTCAAAGTCATATCTGCCTCCAAAGAGCTGCATGCCCAGCAGGGCAAAGATGACAATGAAAAGAAAGAGCAGCAGCAACAGAGAGGCAATGGAACGGATGGAGTTGAGCAGCGATGCCACCAGATTGCTCAGTGATGTCCAGTACCTGAGGAATAGGAGCAGCAAGGTAGGGACTGTACAGGACCTTCTCACTGGTTTTCCCAAGCTTGGAAGGGCTGGAGGCAATGGCTCAGCGCCAGGGACATAACAGAGAAGTGTTTCCTGTGGCTGAATCCCTGGCTTCAAGGTGCATGCCTCTTAACATCTGCCTGAGTTCCCATTATTCCACACTCCTCAGCAGGGCTAAGAATGAACTTCTGTCCTCACTATTTACACACCACCGAGATAGGAAAGACCTGTGCTCATGCCAGCACTGGACAAATGCTAAGAACATCATAGAGCCCTGCATCTGTGCTTTCAGTTGCCCGGAGTCTGTGGAGGACAGCATCAAATCCTATAAGAGCAATGCTGTGATATATTTTCAGAGAAAGACCATAGTCACAGAAATAGTTATAAGATACCATAACTGTAATTTTGTATTGGTGTTAATTGTTCAGGAAAAGGAATGGTGTATTTAAGGTGCAACACTATTTACAGTTTCAAGTACCCACAGGGGTGAGGGCGTGGGGCTTGACAAACCCTCACAGAGGGAAGAAGCACAAATGAAATCATGTCCATTCCCATCTCTGTCTGGTCCCCCCTTCATCTCCATGTCCCCTTTCTTTTCCCTACCCCTCTTCTCTCTCTCTCTCTCTCTCTCTCTCTCTCTCTCTCTCTCT